TAACAAAATTGTTCTAGCCTTGTGGTGATTTCTAAATTCCTTCTTCTGAGCATCTGTCATAGATTTTCTGTCTACTTTCTTGCCATTCCCATCAGTGGGATGAACATATCCATCTATGACCAAATCCCATAAATCAGCATCATAACCAAGGAAAAAACTTTCAATCCTGTATTTCCAATAATCAAATTTCTCCCCATCAAACATAGGGGGTTTTGTGCTGATTCTGTCCCTTTCTTCATATTTGTTGTTAATGTTAGATATTGTATTATCAGCCATAGTAACAACCAAATATATATCAAAGTTTTTCTCACTGGATCTTTACTGCCACTGTGAAGTGGTAGCACACACAGAACCGGAGCTCTGATGCCAACTCAAGTTGAGAAAATACTTAGAAGGGGGTTGAATAAGTATGAAGATAAAAACTTAGAAATAAAAACTCAAGTATTTTTATCCTGGTTCGTTGAACTCAACTACTCCAGTCCACCCTTCCTAGAGTGATTTGCCTTTCTCAATCAAGGACTTAATCCACTATTTAATCAACTGATTCCAATAGTAAGCACTAAGAACAACTGTTCAAAGTCTTCTCAAGAACTACTGATCCTAACTGGATCTTCTTAAGGTTTTCTTACAATCAAATGTAATAACAAATACAAGTGTTTAAATTGCTTCTAATAAAGCTTTATCACAACTGTGATTTTTCACTTAATATTAAGAACAAAGAAATTAATTCTAGAAAGAATGTGAATAGTATGAGAGTTTTGAATATTGATTTCTTTTCAGGTAAAACGTCAATTGAAGAAGATGGGTGAAGACTTGCTTCTATAGGCAGCTTGATCCAAGAGAACTTCACATTGAGAAGAGTGTCCCAAAAGGTCTGAGCCTTTTTGTCTTCATATCAAGTGACCTTTCCTAGAAGAAGAAAACACAAAGAAATCCTTTTTGTCTGTGTTCTTGTGTCTAGCATAAATAAGGAAAGAGTCGTTTGGGTTATTCCAACGGACATAATCTTTGAATTCTTCTTCTTCAATTTTCAGCAAGATTCATCAGATGCTAATTTGATCAGAGCCTTCTGATGTTGATCAGAGTTTTGCTGAATCAGAGTCTTTGCAGCAGGTGTGCTTTTAGCGTGTATAAGTTCAAAGCATATTTGAGTCAGATCCTCAGTACTGGCAGCTTTAGTACTTTCAGAATCTTCTGTAGTAATTATGCTTTGAAAACTCTTCATACAAAATTCTTCTTTGGTTCAGATGCTTCTGACTTGCTTCAGATTCTTCTGGAGCTTCTGCTTCAGATCCTTCTGGAGCTTCTGCTTCAGATCCTTCTGGAGCTTCTGCTTCAGATCCTTCTGGAGGCTACGCTCAGGATCTTCTGTTGGCAGCATTCAGAATCTTCTAATAGATGCATCTTGCGCTTCAAAGTCTAGCATATTTCTTATGTTTAGTTCTAATTTGCTTCTGGAGTGATAATTACTTTAATATCTGCAGCAAACACTCTCAAGCAAATTTTAGAGTATATAATTCTTAATTACAAAATTTCATAATAGTTATCATCAAAACATAGAGATATTATTAAGAACCAATCTGTGTTCTAACAGTCTTCACCAATCGCTAACTTGAGGTTTATTCATTAAACTTATGCTTCGATTTCGTTTATGTTTCTTGTTAAAAATGGGTTCCCATTTTTTCATTTGGTGAATGTTCTTATTTTTTCAGATTCGTCTTCACCATCTTAACAGAAGCAATACATTTGGTTTGTGTTGTTATGAAGAGAAATACAAGAAGTGTGAAGCTATTGTGTAAACTTTATTCATCTTATATTTCTTCTTCATAGCTTCATAAACTAGATGAACTTCATAATTTGTTTGAAATGCACAATTAATTTAAAACAAGGTGTATCTTGAAACATTATATAATATCTTGTGTTATTGTATGTTGTTGATTAATGTTGTTGTTGTTGATACATATGGTTTGTGTAGCTGTGAAGAGAAATACAAGAAGCATGAAACTATTGTGTTAACTTCATTTACCATGCACTTTTTCTTAATAACTTCATAAACTAGATGAACTTTATAATTTGTTTGACATCCATGATTAATTAAAAAAAAAAGGTGTATCTTGATCCTTTTGAATTGTTTTTCGTCTTCTTTTCCCCCAGTCACTGTTCGTCTTCTTCTCACCCAGTTTCTTCAAGTTTCCATCAAATCCTTCCATTAAAATGTCTCAGTAGTCCGTTGTAGCCATGGAAGCAGGTCCTTAAGTTGTTCAAGGTACGTATGCAAGTGTGATCTCGATGCTCCATTGATGACGACATGGGCCAATTTGAGCCCGGACCGTCGTTTCTATGACTGTGGGATGTATAAGATTCAAGGATATAAAAAATACTCTCACTTTGCTTGGTTGGATGAGGAGATGGATCCTAGGCAAAAGAAATAATTTCTTAACTGGTAAAGAACTTGAATGAGAAGAAGGAGATGGTTAACACCTACAAAGTCAAGGAGGACGAATTGAAGTTGAAGGTGAAGATCCTGAAGAAACGGTTGAAGATTACCTGGATTTTTTTATTTGTAGTTTTCATTGCATTTGTTGTAACAACAATGAAGAAATAACTTATAGTTGATTAGGTTTGTATGTTGATTGATGGTGTAATGGTGTTGACTAGAAGTTTCGACCAGAGAGCAGCGACACAGAGACTGGTCGACGAGCTAGGTGAAAGGTTGATGAAGAGGATCAACGTCGACAAGAGGAAGGTTGTTGGGTCGATACGGATGGTGTCGGTCTACTGGGTCAACTAAAAACCACGCAAGGAGACAACTATTTGAGCGGGAAATGGATTTGAAACCCAAGAACGTGGGAATTTATAACAGTGGTGGGCGAACACGTGGCATCACCAGATTCAACATGACAGTTATTTATTTCCCTATTTAAAGCATGTCTATTTTCATTTTTGAAAGCGCGTTTTTGTAATATTGTAAAGAAAACACTCTGAGTATCAAAGCGTTACGAGAAAAGAGTTTTCTCTCCTACAAAATGTATGATCGCATCCATATTTCCTTTTTTATAAGAAATTTACGTCATTAATTTTAAAAGTGTTTTTGTCTTGTCATTTCTTTCTTACTCATTTGCATAAGTTATTTCTCACGTCTTCGTATGCGTATTCATCTAGTTTCAGTCTTTACTAACAAATAATTCTCAACCTATTTCAAATAAACACCATTCCACAACTTTCCCATACATCCCAAACCAAGTGTTCAGGGACTCGTTTGACCGGTCCCGCAAGTAAACCTGTGTTAGGAGGTCAGAGGTTGTTCGCACAAAAACTGCGTGCGAACAAATGGTTGGTATTGGTTACCTTGGATTCATGTGATGGTGTTATGGTGTATTGAATATGATACAGTTATTTGATATTATGAATATGATACAATTTATATTATTATGGTAACTTTATCACAAATGTTAAAAAATAGGATTAATTACAATAATACAGGTTAAAAAATGGGATTAATTACAATAATACAGGTCAAAAAATGGGATTAATTATAAAAGTAGGATATTATTTGTTAATTCTACGGAAAATTTAACAACGGTTATTTATCATAACCGTTATAATATCTCTTGCGCTGACCAGAAAAAAATACTTTATCACAACGGTCTTTTGAAAAAACCCGTTGTGATAGGGCACACGCTTTCCAGTTTATTACAACAGTTAACGGGTTGTGATTGTAAGTATCATATATACAACGACACTCTACATAACAACGCATGAGCCCGCGTGATTATATATCTTTCCGAACCCTTTTGTTAAATGGATTTTCCGTAATAGTGTCTTAAAAGATGGAGATATGCTTCAATTTATCTTGCGATCTAAGCAAACAGTCCAAGACAAAATGTCTTGGAAATTATGCGTGACATCTTGCTTTCCGTGAATCTTCATACAACCAATTATGAATCTTCATCAAACAAATCCAATACCGACTTTACTTGATATAAATAAGAATTTTAACCTCTCAAATAAAGGATTCAAAACAAAAACTCATCCAAAATTGATACACTTTTTAAATCGTCTTTAATAGAGATCGAAGATCTTCTCATTAAATGCAAATTTAAATCTTATAATTAAAACAAATTCCATTAAATCTCTTATAGAATATTTATCTAATTACATCTGAATAAATATCTTTACATATCAATTTCAGCAAAAGAATAAATAAAATTGAATCAAACATTCCTTCAAAACATATCCTATTAAACTTTTTTCTTTAAATCACACAAACCAATTAAATTTTGTTTGATTAAAACAACTCTAAATATTTTAATTAAATCATATCCAATTAAATGTTGTTCATCGATATTTATGATTTAATAAATTCTTTTTCAAACTGATGTGAATCTCTTGAATGAATTCAACTTGAACAAATTTCTTAACTACATGCTAAAAGGGGCCTGTTACATAGCTAAAGCAATACACATGTTAGGATGTCACACATATGACCACGACATCTTTTTCAATAAATTGCTTACAAAAATTAATTAAACAATTGTAATAACAAACGTCTTGTACAATTTATTAATTTGTTGTTCGATTAAATCCAACAATAAAAAATATTATTGAATGTTTGATCGTGTATTCTTGGCAGAAGTAATGGCTCATCTATTTCATGTGCATTTATTATTCGGCCTTATCATCTAAACAAATGAAGAATAAACCAATCAAACAATCAATCACTTGATTACGCACCAAGTTTTCAAATTTCCGAAGACAACAACGTTAATTTATTCGTAATTTTCTGACGTTGGTGGATAATACTTTTGTGCCTGTCGATTACTCCAATTCTTAGCTAACTCAGTTAAAATAATGAAAGATTCCAACCTACTCGTTTGATAAATACGACTTTTGTAAACTGTTGATGTTCACACCTTAATTTGTTGTCGGAAGAAAAGAGAAATAATTGTCCAATGATTAAATAAACCAAGAAACTTTCATCAACGTCCACAAACCCAACCATGTCAGGTCAACGTTTCTCACAACCACAAACCAATGATCCCTTTCTTCATCTCAAAATCCTCTCAAACTCCGACGGCACAATCACTCGCCTCCGTGGAGACCCACACACCCCACCTTCACCAAATCCAAACCTTCCAATCTCCGTTCTCACCAAAGATATCCCCATAAACGCTTCACACAACACCTCCGCAAGAATATTCCTACCCCGCAGAACACTCAATCCCTCCTCCTCCAATAAACTCCCTCTTATCGTTTACTTTCACGGTGGCGGTTTCATCTTCTTCAGTGCAGCCTCAGATTTTTTCCACGATTTTTGTTCCAACCTCGCAAACGACGTTAACTCCGTCGTAGTATCCATCGACTACCGTCTGGCTCCTGAGCACCGTTTACCGGCTGCATACGATGATGCCATGGAAGCGCTGCACTGGATCAAAACCAAACCAGACGTTTGGTTGAAAAGCTATGCTGATTATTCAAATTGTTACATCATGGGAGGTAGCGCCGGTGCAAATATAGCTTATCACGCAAGTCTGCGTGTAGCTGCTGAGATTAATCTGAATAGCGATTATATAAATCAACTTAATATCAGAGGACTTATATTGTCGCAACCGTTTTTCGGTGGGACGGAGAGACTACCATCGGAGCTGAGGCTGATAAACGATGCCGTTGTGCCGCCGCACGTGTGTGATTTGATGTGGGAACTATCATTGCCGTTTGGTGTTGACCGGGATCATGAGTATTGTAATCCAACGGTTGGTGATGGAGTTGGAGTTTTAGATAGGGTGAGGGAGCTTGGTTGGAGGGTGCTGGTGAGTGGGTGTGAGGGGGATCCGTTGATGGACCATCAGATGGCGGCGGCGAGAGTGATGGAAGAGAAGGGTGTGGTGGTGGTGAGAAGTTTTACGGCAGGCGGGTGTCATGGGGTTGAGGTTCGTGACCTCGTCAAGCAAAAGCAATTGCATAATCTAATCAAAGAATTTATTTCTTTTCACCTATAAAATTTTAATTTGTTACGTTGTATTTAATAAATTTTAAATAAAAAATATTTGTGTAATTGTTTTTTTCTTTGCATGTTGAAATTAATCGTTAATTTATATAAATTTTCTACAAACCTTATATTTTTTTTGAATAATTTTTTAATTATGAATAATAATTGTACGTAATATAATATAGAGTGAAAATAATTATTTATTTAATAAGCAAATATATTAATAGGAGTATAAGAGTTTTCAAACTCGTTGTAAGAGTTAACACATCAAACAAAAAAAAATACAATTATATTTATTTTTCAGTTCTTTGAACAAACCAATCCAAGATAAAGTTTTAATGCTTTCTAAAATAGATGAGTTGTCGCCAACAACTCCCTTAACTAGAATTGCATTCCACATCAGCCATAAGGTGTCGTTAACTATATAAAGGTTATCCACTTTTTTTATTCTTTTCTTCAACATATTCATAAATTAACCATTAGGGTTACTTTAGTGGTGAAGATTCCGAAAGTGTGTTCTTAATATTTTATGATTGAATTATAGTTGCGAATAATTTTTGTATTATATTTATATAAAAATTTGCTCAGACTTTAAACGAGGTTTTGATATCTATACTGTAAGATTAATCTTTTTAAATTAGTCGGTCGCAAAGTTGAATATCAATTTTTTTTTAAAATAGTATGAATTATAATAAATCTTAATTCTTAATGAGCATTGCAATTCTCAACCAAAAGCCTACTAACTCTCAAAGTCTGGTTTGCAGACCTGCAATGACCCCTAAGTGTGCAATAGTTTCTCATTCCCAAAAACAAAACAAAAAAACACAAGTCATCATATGTTATTATTGCAAAATTTCTCATTTATGCAATTTCTGTAAGCTTATAGAATGCGCCTAAGACTGGGGTGAATTATGTACTTTGATCAATTTTTGGTTTATTGAAATTATGCTTTTAACTTTTTGATTTGGTGATAATTTAAAAAGCGGTAAAGTGCAAATATGTAAAGAATACAAAAGGATTATACTAGTTCCTCTCACAATCTGAGAGTTTATTATTGTTAGATCTCACTAAACAAAACTCTAACACAATCACCAAGAAAAATCCTCTTGTGATTTACATCACACTTATTTCCAAAAATCCTAGACAATAAGTAAAGGTCTCTATAAGAAGATACAATCCACCTTCCTATAGATCCCTCATAGTACCAAACAATCTGTGATACTTGAGAATTCGTAATAATTACAATAGATATAAATAAATGGAGTTTGTAGAATGATTAAGACTTATTCAAACAAATAAAGTCTTCTTCTCTTTCAAATATGTAGATTCAATAACATATACTCTCTAATGCTCAAGATACATTGATGAATATGATATGAAAAATAATGATTCACAATGTATTTTTTATTAAAATTCTGTTTTGAAAATATAGAGATTTTTTACAAAGTTTGAAAGAGGTCATTAAGAAATATAAATTTTAAATCAATTTATAGAGATGATAACCACCATTTAAAAACATGACAATGGTTAATAGAAAATCATAATATTTATCCTTGAAAAGATGTAATATTTGCCTTGAGAAGAGATGATAAATGGACACACTTAAGCAAATCATTTTTCTATTCTGCTACAAGACTTTTAAAGTCGGTTAAACAGATACTTCACTTAACAAGTTTGCAACGTTTTTCAAATCTCAAATTTCAAAAACTGTTTCAGACTGGTGCAGATTGTGGCAGTTTTTATGTGTTGTTACGATGGTTTCAAATGTCACAATTTACCAAAAACGGAAAAAATTGTATAAGTATTTGAACCAACTGTATGCAACATCTATTAATTTATCTAAGTAAATAGATTATATTAGAAAGTGATTTAATATGGTTCAAATATGAAAAATAAAATTTTCAATGCAAGATAAAAATCAGTTTGAGCACTAAAAAATGTATATGATTTGGATATCATATACCTAAGATGATAAAAATAATTTAAGTATGATAAAATGTATGTTAACGATTCTAGAACACTTCTCCCCCTAATATGTAAAAATCCCCTTTTGTATAAGTTCAATGCAAGGAAATACACAAGTAAGAAATCTTTCTCCCCCTTTGACATTATAAAAAAGAAGGAAAAGATGAGTGAAGGATAATAAATTGACAAATATATCACAAGATAAATCAAAGTATTCATTCATTCATAACAAATAAATCATATGTTTTACCCTATGTCTAGCCTCATCTTCAATCAAACATTCATCTTTGGTGAAGTTGATCTTGAAGCCTTTGGTCACAAAGTTGGTTGATACTTTGAAGATTATGCTTTAGTCTATCGATATAGAGAATATCTTGAATGAATGTGAAATGTGGTGTTCCAACTTTGTATTTGTCAAGATTCTTCCTTTTATATTTTCCCCATAAGTTACAAAATCCTTGGCATTAAGCACTAGATTTGAAAATTTGCTTATATCTCTGGTCATATGCTTAGAACACCCATTATCCATATACCATAAAATTGAAGTGGCATTCCAGCAGACCGACAAAATAGATTAAGTTTTGTTTGGTACCCAAAGTGCTTTGGGTCCTTCATAATTAGTACCTTTCTTTACTCACACATAATACCCACTTGCCACACTAAAGCTTTTAACATAGCAAGCATTAGGTGCATGACCAACTATACCACAATAAAAACAAGTAGGAACAAAATTACTTTTATATTTTGGAACATAGGTTTTCTTTCGAACATTTCTCTACTTAGGATGATGATGCACATTATAAACTGTATTCACTTTTTCCTTAATTGGTTGTTCACCAGCCTTGACAAATATTGTTTTGCTAGAACTTGGCTTATCAAATTTAGAATAGCCAAGTCCTTCTTTGTTATTAAAGAAATTTTGACAGCTAAGAACATCCTCCAACCCAATTTGTCTTTTTTCATATCTTTCAAGGACTCATTTTAATTAAACAATTTGGAAAGAAAATGATTCACACTCTTTGCATGCAAGACTTTGTTTTTATTTTTCAAAATAATTTTGTTTCTCAATGTCAAAATCCTATTGCATGGTGTCAACTTTCTCTTCAAGAGTTGAAATGATTTTCTTTTGAGTGGACAAAGTTTTACATTCATTGAGTAGCATTCTTATAGCATTTTAAGCATTATCATCACAATAAGGTGTTTTGAAACATACCTCTTCTTCATTATCAGGTTGGTGTGTTTCTATAAGATCAAGATTAGAATATTCTTCTCTTTTCGATTTTAATGAATAACTTATTTCATTGTTGTCCCATGCCACAAATGATTTTCTAGATTTTGATTCCTTTTTACTTTTGAATTTGATTTTCTTTGATAGTTTAGGGCAACCCGTCTTGATATGTCCTAGTTTTCCACATTCAAAATATGTAACTTTCCTTGTTGGTGCTTCTTTATGAATGATCCCTTTTTTCTTTCTTTTCTCAATAACTTTTCAAACTTTTTGATATGATCATCATCGCCATCAGTGAATTCCTCCTTTGGATTGCTATAATGAAATCTGACTCTTATTTTTAATGCAACATCTTTTGAATTATTTACTTGTATTTCATGCTTCTCTAATTTTTCAAGTTCTAGTTCACGCTCTCGAAATTTTTCGAACAACAATGCCAATGTCATGATAGAAAGACTCTTCTTTTTCGATATTATCGTAATTTTGGGTTGTCATTCTGTGGTTAAGAACCTAAGAACTTTAAGATTAAGTTCATCATTTTTAAAAATCTTATTAAGAGCAATCAAATAATTTGTCAAGTGTGCAAATCTCTTTTGTAGATTAAGGATTGATTCTTGAGACTGTAGTATAAGAATAAAGTAATTTGATACTTGTGTTATTTTTATACCTATTCATGTAAAGTATGTCTTATTTGTGTGCATGCTTAATTTTTTTATTTGTTTATTTACATTAATAAATTAGATGTTTTTGTGTGTATTTATATGTATTGGTAGAGGTATTAGTAAAGGTAAGAGTGGTAGGGCTACCGCTACTTTGTCGCAATCTTTTATTGGAAAATCTAGAAATCATTCTTCATCTCATATAGCTAAAATTACCCAACTTTCCAATTCTACTCATACCTCCCACCTTTCACCCAAGAGAGTTAGGGGTATCACTACTTTGTCACAAACTATTATTAGGCAATCTATAAATCATCCCACATCTGATAAAGCTACAAATACCTAACTTTTCCACTCTACTCATATCCCTCACCTATCATCTAAAAGAGGTAGGAGTATCACTACTTTGTCACAACCTACAAATTCTCCCACATCTCATAGAGCTACACATTCTCAATATACACACTATACTCCTAGCCCTCGTATTTCTTCCTCGGTAACCACCTATTTTTCCTAGCTTGTCACAAGTTTCATCAGTTACTGCATCCGGTGATGATCCACATGTATCATCATCCCATGTTGATTCACCTCCGCAAATTGAAAGTAAGAACCCCACTGATGGACGAATATGGATTTGTTCCGATCCACCTAATATGTAAGTTTTAATAACTTCCTTTAAGTTATACATTTCATGATTTTATCTTACACTTTATTTAATCTTTTTTATAGATCTGACTCTACAATTCAGCTCACGCGTGAGATTGCAAGCAAACTATGAAGAGATAAAGGGCAAAGAAGAAAATAATGATGTGATCAAATTGTGGTTTGGAGAAATTGAAGTATGAAAGAATAAAGATGATCTTTCTTATAACATATATTTTGTTCACGTTTATATTTTGTTGCATATATTCTAATCACATTTTTTCATACTATATTTTGTTCATATAGTATGTTTTAATAAAAGCAAAGTTTTTTTATGTGATATGTTATACTTGATATCAATTACCACTATACATGTTCAAGTTAATCGAATTAGAACAAATTTAATTTTTAAATTAGTAATCAAAACATTCGTAGTTTAATGAGAGAGAAATATCAACCCATTATAAGAAACACTTTGAATATCAGTTATGTTGGTTAGTTTCGGTGAATTTTTTG